TTGTTTTGGATAGATTTTGCAAAACTTTATGTTTAAGCGTTTTAAGTGTGAATCTTGGATTTAAGTAGTTTGACATTCTTAATAAGATAAGGTGCAAGATGGAAAAGGAGCATTTATTTGTAATTAAGCTGTCAGTAATACTGGTTAGATATGGTCTAGTGCTTCTCTGTCTTTTAATGCTTGTAAGGTGGAGATGTAAAATTACTTAAACTCCATTAAAAACGTGAAACATTACAAGGCAAAAAATACAATTGATGTACATTAAAACTGTAACTTCTTGTGTTGAGATTTGTAATGGCCTCTGGAGCGGATCGGTCTGTGCTTTTCTGTTCACTAGTCTTTTCTGGATTAATTCCCTTTCTCCCCTACTTGTGTTCTCTGATGTTTAATAAAACACTGAAAAAACCACGCTCGTGGCTGCCAGAAACATTGAAAGAAAGGATCCTTGCTCATACTAAACAAGAAATAATATTCACTCGCTGTGCGGCGACGTTTGAACTATAGAGGCAGTGTATAATATCTAAATGTAAAATTAATAAAAAATAAAGGTAAAATAAAGCATTGCTTTGTATAACGCTATTAAAACATTTAAATGATTATTATAAAAAAAAACTTTGAACAGTTTTATAGTAAGTCAAGAATGCTGATACAAAGATAGCGTTTTACTGCTGGCGTGCCCTGCTGTAAATTAACAATCGGTAGGCGCCTCCTAATCCCGAGCTCTGTTCCAGATGTTACGTTCCAACTGTTTAAATTACTTGTACGATGTAAGCATTTAAGTTGAAATTTATCGCAAACTTCATTCGTCTGATTTTGATCTCGTTTGTCCCCCAAACTCGCCTGCAGCCAATTTGATAGGGCTTCTCCTGCTGCGCCCCAAAGCTGGAATTGTGTTCATTCATGTGACCTATCCTAAGCGCATTAAAATCCAGACTCCAACCCTTCCTCATAAAGGCTTTTATGTAACTGGTATCCGTGTATATAAAATCAAGTTTATTATTTTATTATAAATGTAACCGTCTGAAAAGCTTAAACTAATAGCAGAGCTCTAATCAACTAAATAATCACTTCGCTGGATCAAAGCTCAGGCTGAGATGTAGAGGAGTATGAACTGCAGCGCATAAGTTAATGTCTGTAAACTAAAAAGGTTTTTAATGTTGTACGGAAGTTTTAAATTCTTTAAAAAACGTTAACAAACAGGATTTTTAAAATGGATTTTCATGTGTACAGCACAGCCCGTGCCCATCTGCGGGACGCGACGCAGTTACATCAGCTTTCTGCCGAAAGACAGGGGGCAGTCTTCCACAGCAGCAGGGCGCCCGACCACAGCAACAGGCACAGAGGACAGAGAGAGGGGCTTCTTCTCAGATCCGTGGCTGCTGGTTTTCACTGGGTTGGAAGAACAAGACTAAAGAGCACAAACACAGGCATGCATCAGAGATGGTCACCTCCACCGCCTGAGAGACTAAGCAGCCCTTAATTTTCACTCCATCTCTGCTCTTAAGGACTTCGCGGAATATTAATCGTTTGGGCAAAAAGCCAACGTGCCTGTTGCTGCTTTAGGTCTTTATTTGATCATGATCCAAGAGCCTCCAGCTTTCAGGACTAGAATGGACTATCCCAGACATACATGATCACAGGACATGCCCAGCTACACCACCACACATACAGCGGAAGCACAGGGCACACACCCAGATCCGCCTTATTTCCCTCCATACAATCAGTTACTCAGCAAGCAAGACTTTCCTCAGCCAAGTACAAAAATGGTTTTCATTTGTGAAAAGGCAACAATAAAAAAAAACATAACACCTACAAGGCAAAAGAACAATTATAAATAAAGACACGATACATGTAGAAGCATTTGGGGAAAAAAAACAACAACATTCAGAAGTTCAGAAAACAAAGCGTGCACTCGACAATATTTAAACAGTACAAAACTCAAGGACAGAACAAAATTCGATGAAAAACAACAGTAGGACAGGGATCATTTCTATGCCTGCATTTCCCAGTCTGGTTGATATCACTGAAGGTCTGAAAAAAAGACTGTTCCAAACAGCAAACGTTGTATTATAAGGTAGACTTAAAGCCATAACAGAGGCTACAGCAAGCCTTGGTCCAATCTCTCCCTCGTGTTTTGCAGTACTGCCGATAAAGCCTACCTGCCTACCTTCGCACCCATTCTCACCAAGACACCATCGGCAAGTCGAAGGACCAGTGAAACGTCTCCTAGAGAACTGCTAAAGAAGGAAGCCTGGAAACAGGCCGGAAATTAGGACATCAGAAACGTCGCAGACAAGGGCAGGCAGTCCTCATTAAGCCCCTCTAGCCCATTTGCATCGTAGTTGCTGGCTGGTCCAAGGGTCTCACCAAGCCATTTCTTGAAAGAGGCCAGGGTATCGTCTACAGCAATATGGCCAGCTTACCTCTTCCAGCCTCTCACAACCCGCTATGTAAAGAACCACCCCCTGCTCTCGGATTTAAATGCACTTTCACTTGGTTTCCATGTGCAGCCTCTGATTCAGTTCCCTGTCGACACTGAAGGAGGTCGCTTGGTTGATTGTGCCAGGATTTTCAGTTTCTGGATCCCCTATTTTAAGTTTGCCTTAAAATAAATTAAAAGCTCCTTTGTGACTAAAAGTGCAAATACAAAGCTGGGATATTTTTCAGCCATTCTTTAAAAATTCAGAACAACAACAACCCGACAGGTGACTAAGAAAAGCCATTATCAGACAATCAAAGCTGCTTCTTTAGTGTTACTACAAAATCAGGGCAGTCTTTTTAAAAATGTAGGTGCTTTTCTAAGAGATGGATTTCCAAACATGTTTAGGATATGAAGTTGCAGGACTTTTTTTAAAAATCCATTTAAGATTCCTTTGGCAATTTAAAAGTGTCACCATTGTTGATGCTCAAAGCTTCACAGTGTCCACGACAGCTTCTATTCAGAACTCTTACTGCCTCCAAATAAAATACTGAAAAAATGTTCTGTGGCTCCAGTTCTAGTGTTGGGACTGGGAGAATGTGAAGGCAGGGATTCTACACATGCATGCAAAACTGTTGACTCCTGTGACAAACCCACACCCACAGACCAGGACCCAACAAGTATGGGTTTCAATTCATACTCCCTCCACTGGGTGGAGCTCTAGCTCACAACTGGCTTGGTCTCCTTCTGCTCCAGCTCCTCGTCGCTGTCCTCCACTTCCTGAATGATGAGGTCTGCGCCCGAGTCTTCCGCCAGATCATCTTCATCTGTCATCGGCCAACCCTTGTCCCCCTCCTCCTCCCCGAAATAGGGCCCCATCACGCCGCCGGCCGGGTCCGAGCTGTCAAACACCACGCTGTCGCAGCCCGACTCCAGCAGGCACTCGTTGCAGAGGCGGTACCGGCGCGTGCCCTCGCACACCACCCGCCCGCTCAGCTCCGTCACCTGCCGCTTGCACTTCCTGCAGATCAGTTTCCTGGCCTGGTGGATCTGTTGGGAAGACAGGAAGCGCAGGAGCGTCTAGCGGGTATGCAGTCAGGAAGTAATCGTTTCAGGGAAAACGCTCGGAGTCCCCGGAGGTGCACAGGGAGCGTGGCAGCAGGACAGAGCTGCTAGCCGGGCAGACACTGGGACTGGGACAGCGGGAGAGTCGGAAGCAGACAGGCGCAGACGCGCACACGGACACTCACGGTCTGGAAGTGGCTGCGCAGGTGCTCCAGGCGGGTGAACCTCTTGGAGCAGGCCTCGCAGGGGTATGGACGCTCCCCGGTGTGGCAGCGCAGGTGTCTCTTCAGGTCCGCCTTCCTCTTCACCGTGTGGGTGCAGAACGGGCACTTGAACCGCATGGTCGGGCACTCGTCTGGACAGGACAAGAGACACGGGGTTCAGCGCTGAGAAACCGAGGCCCCTAGGCCTGTCCCCTCTCCCTGACCCCTGACCCCTCTCTTATGACCCCGGCTCCCTAACCCCCGACCCCCAGCCCTCACCCTGCAGACACCCCACCAAAGCAAAGTGCAACATTTGCTTGAGGAAGTAAAACAAGGTCACGATAAATCTGCAATCTTGGGACAGCAGTGAGATAATTAGAATTACATTCACAGACATTTGTGGAGTCTAAATCTTGAGAAAGTTCGCAGCTAATATCAAATATCAGAAGACTTGCGCAGTTCCTGTAGTTAGCGCCCTTCCTCTGCACATCCAGCACTTATTTAGTTTAGCTCCTCACAGGGTTCATAATTAAGGTTCCCCCCCACATCGGCTTCACCTCTGTTGAAGAGGCCCACAACCCCAACGATAGTGGGCAATGTGTTGTAGAGCTCGTCAGCCTTCTCTGCTTTGGGGCGGGAGGGCGCCCCCTTCAGTTCGGAGGAAGAACGCGTGGCCGCGGGCTGAATAGACCAGTCTTTTTTCTTCCCTGTCTCCCCAGCGCCCCCCTCTGGCCCCAAACTGAACTGGTACCCTCCAGGTGAGGCGTGTAGCTCGGGGTCAGCGATCTGAAGGGCTCGGCGGCCCATTCGCCGAGAAGGCTGCTCTGACGGGGATGAGCCGCGCTTGGCGGGCTCTGGCTCAGACTTGGTCTCCTTGTGGTAGTCCACTTCGGGGCTGTTGTAAATGTGCCAGGAGGCTGGCTGAGAGCTGCTGGGGCTTTTCAGCATTGCCCCCGCGTTGCTGGAGGAGTAATCTTGCGGCTCTCTGACACCCCCAGACCTTGAAGCGTTCTCAGACAGGCTCAGGTAGTGGTCATCCTCCTCCTTGGCGCTGATGTCCAGGGAGGACTTGATGAAGCTCTTGCAGTAGCCGATGACGTCGGTCATCTGCAGGTAGCTGGCTGCTGACATGACCTCGATGACGTTGGTGCTAGTGAGGTCAAGCTTCCCCGAGTACATGAAGTCGAGGATGACGGTGAAAGTGTCCTGGCTGAAGACTTCGAAGGAGGCGCTGACAGGCTGCCCGCAGTCCTGGGCGCCCTGGGACAACAGCATGCGGAAGTAGCCACTGCTGGCGAAGAGCACATTGCGGTGCGCCTTGAAAACCCGCCCCTCCACCAGCACGCTGCAGTCACAGAAGAGTTCCTGCCTGCGCTGCTCATCCAGCTGCTGCAGCAGACGGCTCTGATGACTGGAGGAAATGTCAGCGCTGAGCGCCGAGACGCGGGAGGGGTGCCTAGAGAAGAGAGAGAGCATCCCAGGGTGAGGAGACATCGACAAGAGTGCGGAACAGGAGAGTGAATTAGGTAGGAGAGACAGAGCTGGGGACAGGTCAAGTGGGTTGGAGAATAAGACAGGATAAATTCATGTGTATCTCTGACATCAGCATGCGCCTGCCTCAAAAGTTAACATGGTAACAACATGTCTTGTTATGAGGCATGCAAGAACCCTTGGCACCCCATTTAAAAGCACATTCCTGGGTTTTCTGTCTTTTTTTGTCCATCCTTGGCCCTTGATGGGTATCAAAGACTAGAAAAAGAAAGAATTCAAGACACATGTCTGACAAATATCCGATTTACTACTACTGTTTTTCCTGGGGGTGCACAGGGTCTCCCACCAACGAGGCTGGATGAAGGAAAGCCATCCTTAGAATTGTGAGGGCCCTGTCGCCCCTTGAAGTTTTTGGCCAAGATCACAGTAAAATACTCTCAATGACGTCGTGATGCTGCTGATAGACGAAAAACCCACATTTACCGTCCGCAACACCACGTTACAGTGAGTGGATTCTTTTTTCCAGCTGGTTTAACCAGCAGGAAACCTTTCCATTACAGACATTTCTACATCGCCCACGTACTGCATGGAAGGACGTCGAATGGATAAAATGCCTGTAGATTAAAGGACGGTGAGATACAGTCTCCGGGTGCCCTGAACAGCTCGGTCGTTTTTTTTTTTTTAATTTGAAAATGTTCAATAAGGAAGAAAGAGGGGCGGGGGGTCTCGCCGCACGGTTAATCGCGTCCTCCCAGTCTCCTGTCCGCACGCCGATTGGCCGGGCTGCCCGCCGCTCACAGGCGAGCTCTCTCGAAGTGGATTGAAAGGCTACACCCGGTTGACGGCGTCGGGCGCCGGGGGAGACCGACAGAGGCACTGCGCTGCGGACACAGCCCTGCCGTGCAGCGCACGGAGCGACACGAAAGCCTGCTCTCATTATCGCGCCATAGCTGAAAAAAGGCATCTGCAGGATTTTAGTTTTTTTTTTTAAATAAAAAGCGCATAAAATACCCTTTATTTCCCAGGTGCCCTTTTCTTAAGAACACAGCCTACAGCTATAAACCCGGTCCCCCCCCTTTCCTATTTTAAGTTCTTTAAAACAACAAAAAACGCATTTGATATATTTGGGTTCTGATTTCAGAACGTGAGGGGCACGTTTGTTTTGTTTAAAGAAAACTAAACGGCACAGCAGTAGCACCCTGTGGCTTGGCAGAGGCGCCCGAAGGCTCCTGCCAGACCGAAACACTGAACACGAAGGGAAGCGATAACTATTGATCGTGAAGTGCGTTCAGCCTCCACTCTGCATATACCTCAGTGTGTCGTGAAACTGTGTTAAAATCACATTTTATCCGCCAGATATTTTGCCTCGCACGCAGAGCTCGCTGTTACCACTGCGAGATCTCCGCTCTCAGCCCTTGGGGTTTACAGAAAGGACGCCCACCGAAGAACTAACAATGAAATAACCAAGACCGGGGATTTCGCGAAAAGAACGCGAAAAAATACGTATATATATATATGTTGGCTGAAATGGCGAGGAGGATACACGTCCGTGGACGCTGCTCTCCCGAGTCCTCCGTCTCGACACCCGTTTCACCCAGCCAGCCGAAGACCCAGCGCAGCTGCAGCCCAGCACCATGGTCAGCGGAGACGCGAGCTGGTTCTCTGCGGTGCGAGGCGCTGCCTTCACGGGCTGCAATTATCCGCAGGACCCGCTGACGCCCTACGGTCCCTGCGCCCTGCCTCCCACGCTCCTCACTTCCCGATACCCGCTGCTTTCTCCGGCGATACTCACGGTTGCCCCGGCTCGCCGGGTGTCTGTGAAGATCCTTTCGTCCGCATTTCGGAAAGAATGTCCATTTGTGTGTGTGTGTGTTTGTTGCAGGAGAAAATAAAAGAATGGAAAAAAAGTGAGTCTCTCCTCTTCGTCTCCGGCGCAGGGCGATACGGTCGCTGCTCAGCCCTAAAGACGAAAACCCGGTTGCCGGACAAAAGGGAGGCCGTGCTGACGTGGGTGTGGAAGCGCAGCGCCCGAGGGCCGGAGAGCAGCTTAAAGCCCCAGCGCGCACGTTAACCCCTCAGTCCTCCCTGCACCGGCAGGAAGCCCTCACCCCCCCAGGCTCATTGTTATCTAACCCGCACACCTCGAGTAAGAGATGTAGGTGAAGAAACGCTGAAGTTGTGCGTTTGGTCTATGGTAGCAGCCCCAAAGCTAAGGCTTTCACACTGCGTTTAGACGCTGTTCAGGGTTTCTCTCTTTTCTGGATTTTTGTGTGCTTAATAAATACATATAATGATCTTAAAGGGAGAGTATGAGTGAACGACGCCACATAACGTGTCGTTGCAGGCTATCCAACACCTGTAGTTACAAAACCAACCAATGGTCATTTTTCTAAAAAATATGACAAGATGAATCGCTCTTCGAAACAAAACTTCAGCACGGGGGCAGGGGTTTTAAAAGTCGCCCGCCACGTGACACATTTTTTTTTTAAAGTCACTTATCGCATAGTCCCGCGTTTTAAAGAAATAACCTTTGCTATATTGTTAAAATGTCAAATCGCATTCCCCGGTAAATGTAAGCACACCAATGCGGCACTCCGAGAAGCTGTTCACGTTTAAAATTGTCTTCTGAGCAGTTAAGAGTGGTAGTTTGATTTGATCTCTCATACAATTTAATTTATGCTAGTGTAAAATCGTCTAATACTGTAGATATGAAATACTTCCACTTTACCAAGAAGGGTGCAATGACTTAGGTACGCTGTACGTGTAACCCCTAAATCACAGAAGCGGCGTACTGTGTGGCTATAGGGTGTCCACTTCAGTGGTGTTAAAAAAAGTGATTTCGAGTTCAAAAAACCGACATGACTGATTTGCCTGCGATTGTAGCCTAGCTTTTAGTCCAATTTACAGAGGCGGGGCTGCGAGACGTTGGGCAGAAGTTGGACAAAACGCTGAGAACACACTTTCGAAGCGTTTTTGAAGCCTTTGTCCAAAAATGCAGAGTGATGCGCCACGGGGGGTGCGAAGTTCGAGGTAATTATTATCTGACGCCCTTATCCAAAGCGATGTACTCACACAGTACACCCGGTAACACAAAACACAAGCGGGCGTTCTCCCGGGACACTCTGAGGAAGAAGCACGGGTGTCTAAACGCCTGATGCTGCGGTCAGGAGTCCTCGGTTCCGATGTAAATCCGTCTCCAATGTTCAGTCTTGACTGCCAGTAGTTTAATCTTAATAACAGTTCAAAAAAGAGCGTCCAACACCATAAGCGCTGATTTTAATATGGAAAAGCAAATTAGTCTCACAGCCTCGGTAACACTTTTAAACGTGAATGCAAGGTTAACCCTTACAGTTCAGCATATTCTATCCAGTTGGGGCAGAAGTGTGGCGTTAATCATTACACTAAGCATTGTGAACATAAGAATAACTCACAGCTCACTGGAATAGATTTTATTTCACAAACACAGCACTGAACCTCACTTCCAACGCCGCTGGAAGTATTTACAAAGAACGGTAATACAAAATATATAGCTTGCAAAACGAGACAATATAAATAAGTACCATACAAAATATTTGTTGTTTACTTAAGGTTAATGTAACACCTTCAATAATGTAAATGTTTTACATTGTATAGACTAAAGGCAAGCATTCTCCACAGTTAAGGCTACAATCTTATTGTAACTATATTTCGACTATCACTTTTACTCTGTCTTGACAATGTTCATAAGTAAACCAACACAAAAGATAGCTTTGGCATTTGTCCACTGTAATTTTAATATTTCACAAAACACGTTTTTGTTTCCACTTTATTTTTCTCTACCGGTGCAGACGCTTTCGCGACGTCATCGCGTGGTTACACAAGTTAACTTCGGCACACAGAATCCCACAAAATCCTCTGAGCAGGTTAAGAGAAAGTTCAGTACCCACTGCACACCCGCAGCGTACAGTAAGGGCATGGTCCACAAGTCGGCCCTACCCAGCACGCGGCAGCAGGAAGAGCCGGGCTTCACAGAGAGTTAAAGGGGACAGAACCCGCCGAGCTGCTTAAAGTTGCAGAGGAGCGACGGAAACAGAGCTGGGCAGGACCTGCCCGCCTTCTCCCAAACACAGCAGAGCCAACCACCGGCGGCAGCATCCCAGCCCTGCATTATTTCACCGTTAATCAGCAGTAGAACAGTAATGCTGGCTGTATTAAACCTCTGCAGCGGAGCGGACAGGACGGGACCTCACCTTAGACCACCCTGCTGTCCACTTTCACTCAACACCCAAACAGGTCATTCATGGAAGCTGTCTTGTGATGTGGGGCAACACGGCGGCCCAGTGGTCCTGGGTTCAATACTGGACCAGGGATGCTGTGGAGTGGATGGGGTTTGTATGGTCTCCCAATGTCTGTGTGGGTTCCCTCCCACAGTAGGGAAGTTCACTGGCATCTGAGAAAATTGGCCCTGGTGTGTGTGTGTGTGTGTGTGTGTGTCAGTGTGCCCTTCGATGGGCTGGCATCCCGCCCAGGGTGTGTCCTTGCGCCCTCTGCGTGCTGGAACAGGCTCCAGCTCCCTCTCCTGGGTGGACGTTTCGTGATGTTGGAGGAGCAAAACCTCTGCTGGAGCGCAGATTCCAGTCAGAGGCACGAGGCCTCGACTGCAACCCTGAAGTTATCATCTTCTCCAAGCTCATCCTAGCAGCTACAAGAAACGGGAGTGAGAGAGGGAAGCTCAGGCCTTTGTTTCACACAGCTGCTCTCGTTCTGGGGGCCAAGAGCGCCACTTCAGTGCCCAGTCACCCCCGCGCGCTAGCAGCCCTGATTCCTCACCAAGGCGTGTGGAGCCGTGGATCCAATCCTTACAGCGGGAGCAATCTGGGATCGCAACGCGCTGCCGCACGAGCACCCCGACCTTCTCTCTGTCTCGCCACAGCCCACTCCCCACGGGGACAGGCCCGCAGCGAGAGCGAGGCGGAGGGAGCCGGTCCTCCCCTCGCTACATCAGCCCCTCGCTCTCCGACAGCTGCCTGTGGAGCTCGTGCTTGTCGTCCAGGTCCTCCCCGCCCCCGGGCTCCCCCTCCTCGGCCTCCTCCATGTAGATGGGCCAGTCGCCGTCGCCGTCGCTGCGCTCGGGGCCCTCCGATTGGCTGCTGAGGTTGATGGGGGCGGCGTCCTCGTGGGTGGTGGTGACGCAGGTGCAGCCGTCGCAGAGCCCGAAGCGCTTCAGGCCGTGGGAGATCACGCCCGTGAAAGTGCGCCGGCAGCCCTTGCACACGATGGGCCAGTTTGAGCGGTGCACCTGCAGACAGGTAAACCAATCACATCCTACCCTGTCGCGTAGCGCCACCTAGTAGTAAAGAAACATCAACTGCAACCTTCTGAAAGCAAAGCTTGTTTCAGTTTTCTACAATATCAAACTGAGCTTCCACATTATTTATTTTAACCATGATGATGAGAATATCACCTTTGACATAACAAACAGGTAAAATTAAATACCGTGGGATACTTTCTCATTCACAAGTGTTGATCCCCAATCACTTGCCTTCCGACAGACACACTAGCGGCGCCAGGAGCTCGGGCTCCGGACCTGGGGGAGAGGTGTGAGGACTCACACTGAGCGCGTGGCTGCGCAGGTGCTCCTGGCGTGTGAAGCGCTTGCCGCAGGTCTCGCAGGGGTACGGCCTCTCTCCCGTGTGGCAGCGGATGTGCCTCTTCAGGATACCCTTCTGCTTGGCGGTGTAGGGGCAGAACGGGCACTTGTGCAGCTTCACAGGAACCACGAGGCCATATCCTGCAAAACCCACAGGAGCCCGGCCCACTTCAACAACATGACCCCAGTCCTTGAAGAGGTGGCCTGCCAAACGAGAGTGCTTCCGATTCCCAGATTACACACGCAGCCCCAAGCTAGGTTCTAAAGATAACCCCCGTCCCGTCTCTGAAACCAGACAGAACTAGACAACGAGATGGCATGCTCACCCCTGCTGCAGCTCAGTGGAGTAAGGTAGGGTTACTGCGGCAGCCGGCCACGCCTCTACTTATCTGTCAGTCAGTGCCGGTTGCTGTGGTTACACAATCAGACAGGAAGCCTGTTTCACCTGTGGGCAGTTACAACCACCCCCGTCTCAGGTGGAGCATGCTACCTGATTGTGTAAACACAGCGACCAGTACCGACCGACAGGTGAGTAGAGGTGTGGCTGGTGGCCACAGTAACGTTAGCTTACTCCACAGTGCTCCAGTGGGGGACAGCCTGACACCCGAGTCCCGAGCTTGCAATTTCAGAATTTAGCAGAACTTTGCACTTCCTAGCAGCACAACATGTTTGGCAGTAATAAGAGACGGTTGCGTGTCATGCTAGACAGAGTTGATAGAAACGGTCCAGTTAGATCAAATCTTGGGACCAAAATCCCTGTCGCTTCATCCTAACAGCAGGGGGCTCTTACCTGTGTCGTCTCCGTACCAGTCACTGTGGATCTCCATGATGGAAGGCGTGCCCAGGCCCAGGCTTTCCTCTGTGGCCCCTCGGCCAACACCCACACCCCCTCCCAGGCTCTGGGCAAAGTGCTGCACCAGCTCCTCCCGCCTGGGGTTGGACCCCCCTCTCAGCAGCACCTCCAGAAACTGCTTCATGTGGTAGTTGTCGTAGGGCAGAGGGGAGGACTCGCTGCCGGCTGGCTGAGAGGAGGGGTGGGGCCGGTCATCATCGGCGGGAGGGGCGTGGAACAAAGGCGTGTACTTCCCTCCCGTCGGGCCCTCTCCTTCCTCGTCAGGGTCAAACTCCGTCTTGGGGTGCACCAAGCCCAGGAGGTAGCTGGAAGAGGAGTTGACCTTGCCGGCCGGGGGTGCCTTGAGTGCCAGGTCGACAGGATGGAAGCTCGGGAACTCCCCCCTGGAGCTCTCGCTCTCCGAGTCCCTGCTGTGGGGGACAGGGGCAGGCAGAGGGCCTGGGAGGGCCTGGGAACTGGGCTCATCCGGGCTGGAGTGGGTGCAGTCTCCGAGCGAGGTGGAGGCCGCGGCAGCCCCGGCTGGAGAGCCGCTGTCTGCCTGGTCCTCGCGCTCCCTCTCCCTCTCCCGCTCCCTCTCCCTCTCCCGCTCCCGGTTGCAGATCTCCAGCGAGGAGCGGATGTAGGCCTTGCAGAAGTTGACCACGTCGGTCATCTGCAGGTAGCTGGCCGCCGACATGACCTCGATGACGTTGTCGCTGCGCAGGTCCAGCCGGCCGGAGTAGAGGAAGTCGAGGATGAGGGAGAAGGCCTCCGAGGTGACGATGTCGAGCGAGGCGGTGCTGTGCCGCTGGCCGCTGTCCTGCAGGTAGTGCACCAGCAGGGCCCGGAAGTAGCCACTGCTGGCAAACAGGACATTCCTGTGCGCCTTGAAGAGCCGTCCCTCCACTATGACGCTGCAGTCGCAGAAGAAGTCCCTCTTGCGCTGCTCGTTCAGCTCGCACAGCAGCTTGGCCTGGTAGGACGGCACCTCCATCTTCACCCCTCCGGCGCGCGACGCGGTGCAGAATACTCGCTGGGGGACACGAGAGAAGCAGAGCTGTGAGACCGCAGAGCGTGGCACGCCGCGTCTCACGTGTTGAAAGAGGGCGGCGCTCCTCAGGGGTCTGGGAAGAAATAACTGCCCATTTGGCATTTTCTCAGCTTTGTATAACCAGAAAGCTAGAGTCATACAGGGCATAAGACACTTGCGTCCTGGCACAAGGCCGGGACATCCTGCCCGGGACTCCAGTCCACCACAGGGCAGCCACACACACAGGGACATTTCAGAGATGCCAATTAATTTAGCGAGCATGTCTTTGGAAGGTGGGAGGAAACCACTGCGCTTGGAGGAAAGCAACGCATGATCGAGAGCATACAGACTCCACACAGAATGTTTCCGAGGACGTAAGATCTGTGAAGCGGAGGCACCAAACACCACGCTCCCATATTATTAGTATCAAGCTATTTATATATTTGCTTTTCCACGAGTAGTAACAGTATCAGCAGAAATGGCATAATTTCTGCTTCTTAAAGAAGGAGGCAGAGAATTCCTTTTTGCAGTTCGACAGAGCTGTGGGTTGCGGATTAGTTCTGTTCTGGCTGGTCTGTCTGTCCTCCTCCTCCCCTCTATCGCCCACTCCCCCAGCCTCCCCCAGAGACCGTTCTTGGCCTGCAGGCTGGGTCACAGAGCGACCCCACACCCCCCTCCTGCCCTGCTGACATGCACGGGGAGTGTGTGACCTAGGGGCAAGTCTGAAACGTGACTCCCTGCCCTCCCTCCAGTCCGAGCCTCCTCCTGGAACCCACTCACGCCCTCCTGCTTTCATTTCCCACCGAGCTGCGACGTTTTCTGGAGCAGATCTATACTTCGTTTTTTTTTCCTACATCTCGGACATCTGGAGTCGGCTCACCCCAACCGGGTGACACAGGGCCCCCTCCCCCTCTGAGGGTTTGAATCCCACACTTGAATCAAATTTCACATCCGGTGGGGGGTGGCAAAAGGCACTGAACACAAAAGTCACAAACTTCAAAATTCACACAGGGTCCCGGGGATAACCCACAAGACAGCACCGCATACCAGTCTTGTAATCAATCAGTTTGATAGCGATGTGGCATGGAGGTACTTGGCTATCCAATTAAAGCGCAGGGTTTCACATGGGACAGACATGGATCTTACCACTGGGTTCTGAAGAAGCACCATCACCTGTTTTATACAACCTCCCATCTCCTCACCCTCACCTTCACCATCACAACTTGACGTTACCCATTTCTCGGTTTCCGCTTCTGCAATGCATGATATCTCAGCGCTCATAACTAACAGAATTCACACAGAACCCGCAGTCTGATGAAGAGTGAGAACTGAAGAATGACGAACATCCGACAATTCTGTTTTAAATTCGCTTGTGTACATTAGCAACCTCTACCATGGGCAATGAACACACGCGTTATGGTCAAGAAGAAATGAGGCAGGGCACCCATAATCGCGACATGCGGAAATCAAGCAGTACATTCTGAGTAAAACGCTGGATGCTGAAATGAATCCCATTTAACCATTAAGTTTCATCAGTGTTTTGAAAAGACGGAGCAACCGAGGAGCCTCGGCACAAATCGAAAATCGACAAGCGGATACAGGCACAAACTGAGACGTGCAACTGTACACCAAGCGAGTTACCGCTACCGTACATTGCAATACATGGCCATTAGACTCATCTCAGAGCGAAAAAACACACAATCCGAAGAGAGGCAATTGTGAGAAAACGTAAGAAAAAAAAAATAAAAACGAAGAAGGAAGCGGTTAGCTAACGGTGCCGTCGCCGACTTGCAAATTTAAACAATATCTTTCATGCAACGTGTGATTTTTATTCCGTGACATCTATAACATCCCGAGAGAGAGAGAGAGAGAGAGCGACGACATCACGCTTGACGGGAACATCAAAGGAACGTGTGACACTTGTCACACAAAGCACGCGAGCGAGCCAGGTCGCCCAGTCGGCGCTTTGACAGGTCTGTGCTTCAGCCAGACGGACATGAGCGGAACGTCGCCGGCGGATGCTCAACAAAAGCACCGAGCAAAACAAATAAACTGCACTGCTGAGACCTGCAGCGCGTCCAATCCGGCTGTCACGGGCACCTCGACATGGGAGAGGGGAAAAAAAACGTCCTCGCTGCAGTGACGCTACCGCAATTCAAACACTAACAAATCGACCGATCGCTGCTCACCTACTCACCTCAAGCCGTCTTCCTTTATCGGTGCTAACAAACTTCACTTTTTTTTTTTAACGAACGCCACGCTAAGGGTTCGACATGCGACCCCGCCCACCCGAGGGCTGACGTAGAAGCGTTACGTCCAATCAGAAGAGGGGAAGCTCACGGGGGGCGGGTTCCTGGAACGCTTAAGGGTAGGTTGAGAGCAAGACAAAAGAGACTTTTTGCAAGGGGGCTTCTGGGAGCAGTAGTTTCCTTGCAGTCCAAGGTTCGATACCTCGTTGATGGTGAAGTGCCCCCAAACCCACCACCTTGGAGGACGTAATGTAATATACAAACAGTTAATTATCATGTTGCAAACTAGCTAGCTACCCAATCGCAGAGGTAGAAGTAAATATGCACTACAATGAAAGAAAAACAATGATTCCCGTTCATCATGGAATGTGGTTGCAGAATATTTTTTAATGCGGTGAAGACGAAAAGAAGAACTATTTATGTATTTTAAATCAGCAACATATAAAATTCTAAAATGCAGAAAAAAATACAGGTCTTTATTGTTTCCTTAAAATATAACCAGAATCGGCCGTGCTGGCAAATTTGCTTTGAAAATCACATTTTGATTTAGACTGCCTCCACAAAATCTCCGAATTCAATCGCTGTCTTTCGGAGTGTTCCCAGCAGGGGGAGCTAGATCTCTGGAATGGGGGAGGTCTCCAGTTTTCAGGGTAAACATGCAGTTGGAACTTTCCTGCTCTCACAAAGTTTGTCGATTATTCAATTCCATTTGTATTCTATGCATATTTTACAATGATGCCCATTCTAAACCTGGGCTGTCATTCATCCTAAATGTAATATAAAAGCGCTATATAAGTGTAAGTGTAATAATTATTATAATTATTAGCATTATTATTAACTAATTTAAGATGCATAAAACTTTGATAAAACAAGCTATCGGTGGAGTTCCGAATATACAGTAAATACAAAAACTCTGTGCGTTCACTAGAAAGCATAGTGACCAATTGTATTGCTTGTAAATAGCTTACGTCCAGTTAGGAAGTCAAACTGCACAATTAATATGACTCTTCACCTCAAAAGACAGGAGGCAGTATTTTAGAAGACAGTTATGTATGTGACCTTCTTAGGTACTGGGGGTTAAATAGCCCGTCTCATGTCCCGAACGATCCAGTCAGGGATAGGGCACCCCTCTCTTTTAATTCTCATTTAATTGACCTTAATTGCTCGGATATGTCAAATCACTGGTTCTTCTATGTTACAGTCAGTAGGTTTTGGCCAAATGTCTGGAAAGCCTGCAGGATTAGTGCCCCTAATGTTTTTGTGTTTTTCTAGACAAAACGTTCCAGCACCAAGAACTCTCAGAGTGTGGCCCTGAGGCTCTTTCACAGACCTGAACCAGAGCTCAGCATGAAGGAATAAACTGTCTTAAAAACTCCCTCCATCTCAGTTTGTCTTTGCGATTGGAGGAGCCCCCATCAGGCTCCTTCACGGTGAACGTTAGCCAGGTGCCCCCGAAATCTCCTCCAGCTGGAGTGTTGCTCAGCGTGATCCACCACAGAACTGACCTTCACCTCGCCATGATGAAAGAGCCAGAGGGCTGCCAAGCTGGAAGCAGTTTATTCCTTTAATTGCGGCATTTTAAAACTCAG